AAGTAAAAAAAAAAAACTTGTAATTCTAAAAAGTCTAAGGTGCAATCAACTATCTCAAATTTGATCTCTGTGGTCTTGGTGTGGGATAATTGCTGGTATTCGGAGCATGTTCTTTTGCTATGCGGGGTCCATCAAATTTGCTAGCAATAGTGCGAGTTACTTCACTCTCACTGGTCGCGCCATCATTATTCTTTGTTTTTCCATAATGCCATATGATTGTGGCATACCTTTGACGATGGTACTTTGCATCGATATCAACAGAACGCTTATCAAAAACTCCATTACTGATGTATTCAACAAATAGACACGTGTACAAACCACAATCACTGAAAAAAATTTGAAAGAAAAATCATTTTATACCATTTTCATACCAATGTTAAAAATTTAAATACATTAATGAAAAAATTGAAAAAGAAACCTTCCTATTAGAAAAAAATCGCAATTTCATATCAATATTAGTCATAATTCTACAAAACAGAGTAATTTAACAATTCATACCATTTGCATACCAATTTAACAACTCATATCATTGGGCTACTGATATCAAACCAATTTCATACTAACGTCAAAACACAATTCATACCATTTGCATACCAATATTATATCACATTTCATATAATATCCCAAAATCATATATTAAAGTGATATTCATATAAATATTATTCACATTTCGTACAAGTTTCACCCAAACAAAAGTTCCGAAACAACAATAAACATAATGTGATATTTTTAGCAAAAAAATCACTAATTTGAATAATGTGAAAATAAATTAAATATAATACTTACCCTAACAACTTTTTTTGCCTTTTTTGGATATTCGAATTTCTGATTCCTTCTTTTTTGTTGTTCTTCTTCTTGATGGTTTTGAAGATTGAGCAATTTCTACATTTGTTGCTTTTTTTCTTTTTTATTTCACTATCAAAATCAGAATTCGAATCAAAAGGGGTTTCTACAATTTTCCCCTTCCTCTTCTTTCCCTTTTGATTTGCCGAACTCACCATTTTCTTTGCTTCGTTTTTTTCTCCTTTTGATCCTTTGACTGAGAGGAACCACACTTTGCAGGAATTTCAACATTCTTCGTATGTAGATCTCATCCCACCATTAATTCATATAAATGTGGGAGTTCTACTTATTTTCTTTTTGAATGAAGAAGACGAACGTTGAAGATGGTGAGAGAGAAAATTAAAGTTAGTTCTCTGTAAAAGAGAAACGTGGGGGTGGGGGTGTGGGATTTACGTGTGGGTAAAAGAGGAAGGTGGGGGTTGCTGTGTGAAATCTGGAAAAAAATCCCTAAAATGGTGGAAGAGATAGTGACAATTGATTCTCTAATATTAATGTTATCCCTAAAATGGTGGAAGAGATAATGACAATTGATTCTCTAATATTAATGTTATTTCTCTTACTTATTAATTATATGTAATTATAAAAATAATAACTAATTAATTAAATTATAAATTAAAACTAATTTGTTAATATTTGTAATTAAACTGTTATAAGTAGTAATATAAAAAAAGTACATCTAAAGGCTGTAATATTAAGCCTTAAATATATATATGAGGTGATTTTTCCTTGATTTTTGCCATGAATTCTCTTGGCAAAGTCAGGATCATTTCGCAATCCACCTTATCTGAAAATAGCACAGCCCAGCCCATTTTCAGAGAGGCCTCACGTTGGATATGAACAACAAAGCCCAAGTTTAGTTTCTTCTAGAAAGTTTCAGGCATTCAACAATTCTTTGTTTTTTGGTTAATAATGGAATCAAGAAAATAAGCAAATACTATAAAAGCAGAAGAGATATCAATGGCATTAACACTCTCAGCAATAGCATCATCGAATTTATTCCGTCGGAAATTGCCCATAGTAGGCGCTTTCTGTGTTCTTACTTTTGGTCTCTCTAATCTCTCTGTCCCTTTTACTAATACGGGTTTTGCTCATTCACTTCCCTTTGCCCCTCTTTTCCGGTAATTTTTCATTTCTCTTGTGATTTCTGATCAGAATCTTGAAATTGGATTGTGGGTTTTAGTGAAATATTATATCTGGGTTGGTTTTGTTTTTACATTTTCAGGTCGAAATTAGTTGGAGAAAGACGGAGTACAAGTGTTAGTAGAATAAGAATGGAAGCTAGCAACAAGATTGTTCCAACCATTGTTGTTTATGTCACTGTTCCTAACAAAGAACTGGGTTTGTTTTATCTCCTTTTTCTTTTTGGTAGTTTTGGCATTTGATTTGATTATCTCTTGATGATTGTTGTTTTTTGTGAATCCTTCAGTAAAATTGTAATCTTGTTGAGGATTCTAGCTGAATTATGATCCCTGTTTGGACTGTTGAGTTTTGTTTAGACTTGAACTTGATTCATGGTGATCGCTTGGTCTGGGGATCACATATGTGTTTTTTTCCTTTGCTGGTTCTCTCTGGTGTGCTTTTAGTTCCATTCTTCGGATTTGAGCTCTTTAGATTTGTGAATCTTAGTCATTGTCTGATCAAAAAAGGGAAAATCTGCACTATTCTATTCAGCTTGTATCAAAGTGCCTATAGTCTGAAGCAATATTTATTATTTGTCCAAGTGTACTAATTTAAACATGTTATGTAAAGATGGTTTCAGCATAATTTTCCACAAATATCTGATGATGCTATCTTTTTGATTACTTTTATGTAATCTCTGTGATTACTGATGCTATGGATGGAACTTTAGCATCATGATCTTGGATTCTAATGAACTTGCAGGTAAGAAACTGGCAGGGAGCATAGTCAAGGAGAAACTTGCAGCATGTGTTAATCGAGTACCAGGCGAGAACAACTCCTTATTAATTCTCTAACTAGACAAAGTAACTTTCATGTTTTTGTCTTGCACTAAACGAATGACACATCTCTGAAAGTATCTTTACCATCATTTGCATGTTTAGACTTTAGCAATTCAACTTCAGTGCAACATGCTGCTAATACTGATGTTCTTGGGAAAGTGTGGTTCTCTCTTGTTGTCGTGAATTGAATTAGAAGAGTGCTAATTCCACATCATTTTCTAGTAACACTTTGCTCTTGAACTTAAAGTTTGATTCCTTCAAATGTAGGTAACCATTAGTTTTTTAGGTATTTTGATTCTTTATCACTTGCGTGAAACAATTTGCATATATGAACTTGAATATATTGCCGTTTCTCTTGTTTACTGCCTGTACTGTTGCGTGCGTTTGACTATACTCCCTTCCAGAGATTGAACCTTATTGAGATCCTCTGATAATATGGAAGAATTTTTGGGGTTGGAAGGGATATAAACTGTAGGTTTTGGTAAGTGGTACTGATTTCTATAAACCGGCTCTGTCCAGGGGCATCTGCACAGTTATGTATTTTGTAAAAGAAAGGTGTATCAACTAGCTTTTTGTTTGTTTCTGTTTGTGACATTGCTTCAATATTTACTAACCTATGTCTGGCAAAACACCGAAGTGCATTTTAACTGTGTATGTCTCCCTCAGCATTCCCTTACATGTGTAGGAGTCTTCTTGGTTGCGGAGTTACTCAAATTCAAGCTAAAATTATTAGATTAGTTGGTCTCCTCAGAAGTCCTGTTTTCTATGTTAACATGTTACAGTTATGACTAGTACATCAAGAAGCTGGTGGATGCATAAGTGAATTGATATGCTGTGTGTGCAGGTGTAGAATCGGTTTACGAGTGGCAAGGAGAGGTAAGTCTCTTCTTCAAAAGACTCTTCAACTTTGATTGGAATTAACTTTTCTCGATACACTATCAATGGCGGGGACAGGAGTTTCACTAAAAGGATTTAAAATATGAAAAAGTAAACACACAAAGAAGTCAAAGGGGATTCAACATCTACTATATATACATAAAAATAATTTATCATGTATAAACAATGTAATTTCCGTTCAAAGAGGTTTGGATGAACCTACTTGGCTCTGCCCCTGTACACTATATGTGTCGCGTTGTTTTCTAAGAGTAGTTTTGCTTTTTGTTTTTTTGTTAACAGGTACAGACCGATTCTGAAGAGCTGCTTATAATCAAGACCAGGGAATCCCTTTTAGAAGCTCTTACGGAGCACGTGAAGGCCAACCATGAATATGAGTAAGTCCTTGCATCTTTGCTTCTTTTTTTTTCTTCTTCCAATTATAAGACATCAGTGCTTCTTCAGTTTTTAACTTGTCATCTAATGTTCGACCATCTTATTTTCTGCATTAGTTAGACAAACCTGGCACAGATCATCCTTTTGAATGTTAAAAGTGGTTTTAGGAAGTAATGTGTTTGTGATGAGAATGATCCCACATTCAGACCGCAACGAGAACCCCAAGCTCCTTATTTAGCTTGGGCAATCCTCCTTCCTTTGAGCTTAGCTTTTGGGGTTTGAGTTAGGCCCAAGGCCTGATTCGACATGTCATTTGTTATACACTTCACTTTCTACCAGTCCGTGAGGCTGATTTTTCTGCTCCAAAAATTTCAAACATTCATGCTTGGTCTTAGGCGTGGAGAGAGTGCATGGATTATTTTGATCCTTCTCTTGGTTGTTTTTTGCAGTGTTCCTGAAGTGATTGCCATGCCCATAGTTGGTGGCAGTTCACAGTACCTAGAATGGCTCAAGAACAGCACAAGGGATGAATGATTTAGCCAAGACAAGCTTGTTCAACCTTGAGCCTGTAACTTAAGAGTCAAAAGACAAATGTATGTGTTATTTGGTATTTTCTAAGTACTTGTTACTTAAACTGTGTAGTTAGTCTTGACTCTTGATGTGTGAGGTCTTATATCTATCTCTAAATAGTATCTTTCTTATTTTACATTCACGGGTGATTTTGGGCATTGCCTTTTGTATATATGGTGACTAAAATTCACCAACTCAGCTCTTCTAGCAGTTGCATATTTTCTAATCATCGGAATGCATCATCACTCACAGAATTATTTGCTTCTATACATTTAGAAACATCAAAGAGCTACACTATATTTTTAACTTTTAGCAATTGGATGAGCTATCAACAGTTTACAATAGCACCTTTCACAAAAGAATTGTAACCATTTTCATGATACGTTTTGAAACGTCCTCAAAGACACAAGCATTCATTAAAGTTTTTTCTCATACACAGTACTAAGGTTCCATTGCAATAAGATAAATAATCTAACTAGATTTCCAAGTACCAAACCACCACTAGTCAAATATCAAACATAACATATGTCAAGCGAAGCTGTCTTTTTTCTTATACAATAAGTCAGCACAACAAAGCAAACAACATTTAGAGCCCAATCCTAAATAGAGACACCATGCCAATCAAGATTCATCCAACTGATCCTGCATTAACCACATGACAACAATTAAAGAAAGTTTCACAAGTAATAACATCAAACTTCAGAGTGAGTACGTGTGTGCATGTGATGGCAACCTTCAACAGAAGCACATACCTGAGCATCTGAGGTCCAAAGTGTGAGGTTGTCTCGTAGGAGTTGCATTATGAGGGTGCTATCCTTGTATGATTCTTCACCTAAAGTGTCCAGCTCAGCTATGGCTTCCTCAAATGCCTAAACAAGTAGACAAACAAAATCATCCCAAATGCAAAGATATGGATCGCTCTTAATATAACTAGATCAACTGGCATGCGTAAGCATAATATAGATACCATGGACACTGATGGCAAAACCTAAATGTTCGATCTGCAGGTTACCTTCAATTTGAAGAGGAGCAAATACAAGGCTCAAGGTTCCTAGCCAACTAGCACTTTAGGTTAACCTTGACTATAAATCAGTCTTATAGCCAAAACTAAATGGATAGGTAGGACTGTCGTCAATTTCTAACTTCACCAACATTTTAACAGTACACTAGCTCTTGACTTATGCTATGCAAACTTTAGAAGAAGAATATACACGCACTGAAGCAGATCATTTCTACATATTGCTTTTAAATACCTTATCCTACAGTCATCTCTCTTATATTAAGTTGTCAACCCACTTCTCTAAATCACTTGGATTCAGCTGTCTCCGACTTGTCCTCTCTCGTCCTATCCATCCATTTCCCACTACTCATTAATTCTCCCTTTTCTAATAAGTCAGATCACTTTCTTCTCCCAGAGACACCACTCTATTGGCCTTGCATTCTACATATTTCACTGCATCTCACTATCGATAGTTACCCTTCCCCGACTTTATTCGATGGCTCTTTTATTAGTCAAAGCTAAACAACAGTTCAGCCTGCTCAGAACATATAAAACTGCAAATGAAGCATGTTACCATAAACACTAAATTTTACCTGTTTTGCCATACTGCAAGCTTTGTCAGATGAGTTCAGTATCTCAAAGTAAAAGACAGAGAAGTTGAGTGCAAGACCAAGCCTTATGGGATGTGTTGGAGGCAGATCTATCAGTGCAATTTCCTTCAATGACAACAAAGGCAGGGAAACAGAATCAGTGAAACTCAATTTTCCAACTATGTGATGGAAATCTGTATACAAAATGAAATGCAAGGATATGAACATACAAGATTTGAACAACTGTAGAACATATACAAACCAGACTAAACAATTTTCGAAAGAAAGGAAGCAAAAACAGAGAGAACTGAAAAGTCCAGGTAGCAATCATCCTAACCTCCTCTATACAGTGTCCAATAATGCGCAGCATAATTAGAAAGCCCTTGCATGTGAAGTTAATTTTGTGATTTATACACCCAACCCGAGTAAAAACAAACTGCTCCTTGAGTGTTGCTAACTACATCAATGACACAACTATAGCTAAAATGGGTGTAAGCCTTATTAATGCACACATCCTTGGATATTTACAAACACTGATCAGTTTACAACCGATCTTCTAACTAAACACAACAAGGACTTCTTCATCATTTCAGTTCAATCTTTAATTTCAAAAAAAGCATCAAAACAATTTGGTGTTGAAAAAACCTTCTTGGATGGAAATGACACTTCATCTGTTACAGATATGAAACATAACAAAATAAACGTGACATTGCTTAGCAACAACAGAGTAAGGCAACAGTCTTCTGATCACAAAGTTTTGTCCCTTGTTCTCTTAGTTGCCGTACTTGTACCTATGATTTCCTCTATAAAAATAATACATTTACACAAATCTCTTTCAAAGTCGAGGATAACAGTGCAAAGGAACATCATCTTAAACTGCAGCTTAAAAACACATATCACTAATTAACAACATATTAGAAAAATATGTGATGAAAAGACAAATCGTAGCAGAAAATTCAACATTATATGCTAATGCAAGATTCTCTATCACAATCTCAATGAAAGAACTAAATCCAGATTGCAATGGCTAAAACTGTATTTATATTGAAATCTAGCTACAGTATCAAGATGCTTTGTCCCCATCTCAACACAAATCCTGCTATCACAACAAATAACTAGGAAGACCTAGATGCAGTTTAGCCCAGAGGCCCAATGTCAAATCATCTTTAACCTGTAGCTAAACAATTCATTTCTCACAATTTCAATCACAATAGTAAGAAAAACTATAATGGAATGGAAAAATCAAACTCGATTAAACAATCCCCACTAGTTTATTTTTATTAGTACCAATCTCCACTACAGTTACAACGCAAATACATAAAATATAGATCAGAATGGCTAAATTTACTTCACTACATTCACATCAAATTGATCTACAGTTTCTACATTAATTTCAGATCTCAATGAAAATCCTACTAGCGCAGCAGGTTAATAAGAAAACCGAACAGTAATTAGCCCTAATCTGAAGAACAGTAAAAAGCACAAGCAAAAATCAAACTCAAAACCTAGAAGATACCGCAAAATAGGAAATAAAAGTCAACTCAAACAGTACCTGAGCAGTCTTATAAGAATTCATTGTGTCTTCAGCAGCCTGCTTCCTCTCATCTCCAATCTTAAACTCAGCAAGATACCGGTAGTAATCACCTTTCATCTTAAGGTAAAACACCTTCGATTCACCGGTAGTAGCAGATGGAACAAGGTTTGACTCGAGTAACTTGAGTATACCAGCACAAACCTGCGAAAGTTCATTCTCAACTTTACCTCTATACTCCTTAACAAGATGCACGTGCTCTTCGTTCTTCCGCGATTCCTCCTTCTGTTCAATGGAGGAAACAATACGCCAGGCAGCACGAAGAGAGCCGATAACGTTTTTGTAAGCGACGGAGAGGAGATTCCGTTCCTCAACGGTGAGTTCGCCGGCCGGCGTGGAATTGAGGACTAGTTTGTCCATGAACTGAACCATTTCTTCATAGCGCTCGGCTTGTTCAGCGAGTTTGGCTAAGTAAAGACACTGTTCACGGCTGAGATTTTCAGGGATTGGAGCCGCCATGGATGAAGTAGAGAGAAAATTTAGGCGAAAGAGAATTGATTTTCTCAACACTGTTTCTGTGTGAAGTGTGAAAAGAGAGAGAGAAGGGACTTTTATGTTCTTTTTCTTTGCCCTTTTTCTTCGGTTTGCATATACACGTGGAGTCGAATACACTTTTCTTTTCTTTTTCGATTTTCCACTCGATATTTCTAATATGAGATTTTGTATTCAAGTAAATTTGAATTTGAGAACTCTAATTATGTGAATTTAAAGAGGAAACAACATAAATTTACATTAGTTTTCTAATAAGTATGCTTGGGTATAAATTTTAAAATATTCATATATAAAAAGATAAAAATAAGTCATAGATATATTTTATTCAATAATAACTGAATTGACTAATCAAAATAACATTAGTAGAAGCAAAGCATTAGTCAACATTAATTTTTGGGAAAATGGTCAAAAATGCCCTTAAACTATGTGAAAGGAACAAAAATGCCCTCCGTTTATAGTTTGACTCAAAAATGCCCTTAGCGTTAATACTTTGGTTCAAAAATGCCCTTAAACTATATGAAAGGAACAAAAATGCCATCCGTTTGTAGTTTGGTCCAAAAATGCCCTTACCGTTAATATTTTGGTCCAAAATTGCTCTTATTGTTATTTAATAGGTAAAAAATGCTCATTTTTCAAATAAATATTTTTTTTAACACATTCTTTTCTAATAATGTTTTTTTTTAAAATTAGCAAATGTTTATCCTACTTCAATTTAGAAAAAAATAAAAAATGAAAATATTTCTTATTTTTTATCGTTATATAAATATAAATTAATGATGGATATACTATAATCTTATATATGACATATATTATATGTCTAAAGGGTACATGACGTTATTCTATTTTAATTGATAAAATGAGATTAAGAAGAAAAAAAATATTTCCTACCTTTTTATTTGTTAAAGTGATTTTAGAAGAAAGAAAACAAGAATAGTGTTCTTCAATAATATTAAGAAGAAAAAAAATATTTCCTACCTTTTTATTTGTTAAAGTGATTTTAGAAGAAAGAAAACAAGAATAGTGTTCTTCAATAATATTTTAATTAGGACAAAGATGTGTTTAAAAAGAAAAAATAAATATTTATTCGGAAAAGGGCATTTTTGACCCATTTTGTAACTATAGGGGCATTTCTGGACCAAAGTATTGACGGTAAGGGCATTTTTGAGCCAAACTATAAAGGGATGACATTTTTGTTCCTTTCACATAGTTTAAGGGCATTTTTGAACCAAAGTATTAACGCTAAGGGCATTTTTGAGCCAAACTATAAACGAAGGGCATTTTTGTTCCTTTCACATAGTTTAAGGGCATTTTTGACCCTTTTCCCTTAATTTTTTCATGAACATCTAAATCAATAAAGGTGCACTTGGCTTAGGTGGGTTTTCATTATCGTTAATTGTGTTAATGTTGATTTTTTTTTATTGTAATTTCATAATAATTCAATGTATCTGATTTAGATACATGTAACAATTTTGAAGTGTCTATTTTCAACTAAAATGTCACTATCTTTATGAGTGATAACTATAGAAAAAGATCCTGCAATTTAGAATTTTTGGGTGTAGTCCAAATCAAATGAAGGTTGATGTTGTGTAGATTATAATTGTGTCGAATAATAGTTCTTTTGATTATAATTTTTTTAATAATGAAAATATTTTAAAAGAACTGAAACAACGAACCTTAAAAAAATAATTTTGATATTGATATAACTCTTTGAAAATAAAAAAAATAACTATTGAAAACTTTATTAAATTAGATATGTGACATAAAAAAATGGATGAAATCAATTACTAACACGTCAAAATTTTAATGTGGACTGCTTCGTGAAATGTAATAATATTCATTAACAAGAGGAACAATGTGTGTGAGAGATAAAAACAGATATATTTGGAGGGGATTTGAATTACGAGACACGATTGATATATGAGCTCTATTTTTAGATATTTTTAATGGGATGTATTTGAATTGAATCTGGTGTAAAATTATAAAATAACTAATAGTAAAATTATTCGCGTGAAGCACGGAAATTTAATATTACGGATTTTATAAAATAATACTTAAAAACTATTAGTCATTAAAACTAAAACACTATATTATTTTACATATAAGATTACCGAGTAACGAACATTAATATTGTAAAGGAAATGAAAATTATAATATCTTATCATTTATCCTTAATAACATAAGCATAAATTTATGACTGTAAAAAGAATACAAAATCTGTAATATAATCAATTGTGTCAGTGAACCACTCAACATGAGCAAAGTACACGAATATTAATTGTGCATAAGAAGAGGAATAAGAAGCTTAGAGTTTTTGTTGTTTTGAAATGAGAGGAAATTCTTTTATTTATAAATAACAAATAGTAGTGTGAACAAATGTTTATTGTGCCTTATCGAAAAGGTCAAAACTATTTGAAAAAGTTGTAACCCTTCAGAAATGTCACAACCTTTCATAAAAGTCACAACTTTTCAAAAAAATCGCAACTCTTCATTAAAGTCACAACTTTTCATGAAAGAGAAGACTAGTTTTGAAAATAAATAAATTAAAAGAAAATCTTGATTTGTGGTGGCGCCACGTAGACAGACCTAGGCTTCTTTTTTTATATTTTATATATATATGTCAATATATAATTATTTTAAAATACAGAATGAATTAATATATATAATAAAAATATTTATCTAATTAAATAATTTTCTCTTATATTAACGAAAACGATAATATAAAGCATTTTCTCTTAAATAATTGCAAACGAAAAACCCTGAGCCTCCTTGTCGACAAAAATCCCAACACTGAATCTCTCTACCGGTTCTTGTCCATTTCTGCAAATTTGGCGAATTGACTTCTTAAATCTACTTCTAAGCTTACCCTTTTCTTGAATAGGGGTGAAAAAGAGGATCTTGGATTGTAAGCTCCATCATTCATTAACTGGTAAACAATTTAACTATCACAAGCAGTATGTTATGGTGATTTCTCTGATTTTACTCTAAATTTTGTTTCCAAGTATTGAATATTAGTTTTAGGATTTTGGGTTTTCAGTTTAGCTCTGATGCGTATGTAAGTTTTTGTGCCATATTGTTATTTGTTGTGTTAGTGGTTGCTACTTGTTATTCTGTGAATGAAAGTGACTTGGTTTGCTGCACTTGAGCGGAAGGTCTTTCGGAAAAAAGTGGTAGAGTAAGGTGTGCTACACCCTGCCTCCCCACAAATCCCACTTGTGAGATTACACTGAATATGATGTTGTTGGTTTGGATTGTGAAAAAAAGGTGTCTTTCTCAGGTGAATGACTGATGCTTTAATGTAAATAGTTGATATGGTCGAGTTGAAGTATGCAACACTTATGCAATGTCATATGCCATTCCATTTTATAGATTCATTAGAAGTGAGAAAATCTCCCTAAGGAAGGGTCTGCATACACTCAACCCTTCCCATACCTCACTTGTGGGATTACACTGGGTATATAGTTGTTGGTTTGGATTGTGAAAAAATGTGTCTTTTTTCAAGTGAATGACTGATTCTTTAATCTGAATAGTTGATATGGTCTAGTTGAGGTATGCAACACTTACACAATGTCATACACCATTCCATTTTCTAGATTCATTAGAAGTGAGAAAATGAAAATAGGGAAACAGGGGGATTGTTTATCTTTACAGGAAAAATGGGGTATTTTCAAGATTCTCTCCTATTTTGGATAAATGAGCTTTAAAAGGGGATTGTCCCGTGAATTTAGTAAAAAATGTTGATTATGCTGGTGTAAATTGAAAAATATAGTTACGTGGATGCAAAGTGTTGTGTTAGGCCAAAATTCTGAGGGTGTAAAGTACAGGCTTGAGCCGACTGTGCTTATTTCTCATTTCTGTATGAGAGTTGGGATGGAGTATAACTTCTTTTTTTCTCTACCCTAACAGCTGCATATAATCTTCAGGTGGAATTCAAGTCACGGATCCTGCAGTCTTGTTAACTTGGATGAAAGCTATTGGGCACAAGAAATGTAGTCTCGGTTCTTCATCTAGGTTATTTTCATCTTCAGTTCAATGGATTTCTCCTCTGCATTACCAGGGCAGGAATTCTCCATGGCCAGATGCTCCTATCGAGAGAGATGGCACTTCAGAACAAGTGCCAAGAAAACGCAAGTATATATCTCATGAATCCGCAGTCAATTTGATAAAACAAGAGAAGGATGCACTACGTGCCCTGGAGATCTTTAACAAGGTTTCTGATCAGAAGGGTTTCAATCACAATAACTCCACCTATGCTGTTCTTCTCCATAGACTTGCTGTTTGCAAGAAATTCGAAACAGTTGAGGCTATTATTCATCAGATGAAATATGAAACTTGCAAGTTTCATGAAGGCGTATTTACAAATCTTATGAAGCATTACTCCAGATCCTCTCTCCACGAAAAGGTTCTAGAGATGTTTGATGCAATCTTGCCTATTGTTCGGGAAAAGCCTTCCCTCAATGCCATTAGCACATGTCTGAATCTGCTTATTGAAGCTAAACAGATTGAACTGGCGAAGGAATTTCTCTTAAACGTGCAGAAGCATCTAGATTTGAAGCCCAACACATGCATTTTCAATATCCTGGTCAAGTATCATTGCAAAAAAGGGGATGTTGACGCTGCATTTGTAGTAGTAGAAGAGATGAGGAAGTCCAGAGTTTCTCATCCTAACTTGATTACTTACAGCACCCTCATGGATGGCTTATGCTGCTGTGGAAGGCTTCAAGATGCACTTGACCTTTTTGAGAAAATGCTTGCTAAGGATCAGATTCCGCCAGATGCATTGACATACAATATCTTAATAAATGCATTTTGTCGTGCAGGAAAGGTGGATAGAGCTAGGAACATAATAGGATTCATGAGGAAAAATGGATGTCAGCCAAATATAGTTAATTACACAGCTTTGATGAATGGATTTTGTAAGGAAGGAAGAGTTGGAGATGCCAAGGAGGTATTTCACGAGATGAAGGGAGTAGGCCTAAAACCAGATGTAGTAGGATATACAACATTAATAAATTCCTTCTGTAGGGCTGGTAAGGTTGACGAAGGCATCGAGTTACTTGAAGAAATGAAGGATAAAGGGTGTAAAGCTGATGATGTGACAATAAAAATCATACTCGGGGGATTGTGCAGAGCCTCCAGATCAAGTGAAGCTTTCGATATGCTTGAGAGGTTACCTTATGATGGTGTCCATCTAAGTAAGGAAAGTTACAGGATCGTGTTAAATTTCTTGTGTAAAGAAGGTGAGCCAGAAAAGGCGATGAACTTGTTGGGTTTGATGTTGGCTAGACGATTTGTGCCCCATTTTGCTACGTCAAATGAATTGATAGTTCAACTATGTGAGGCTGGAAAGGCAGCTGATGCAGCTTTGGCATTGTTTGGGCTGTTAGAGATGTCGTTTAAGCCAGAGCCTCGGACATGGAGTATGTTGATAGATGTAATATGCAGGGAAAGAAAGTTGTTGCCTGCATTTCAATTACTTGATGAGTTGGTTCTGCATTAGTTACTACTTACATGTGTTGTGATTTTAGGCATTTTGTATTCTTCTTGAGTGACTTTTTTTTATAAAAAAGATAGTTGAATATGCCAATTTCGGCGTCATTAGGTTGCAAGCAGACATCAACATATGCTCATTGGAAGTTTAATCTGCATCTGTTATGCATTTTACCAGAAAAAAAGGTAGCAGTTTGCATTTGAATGAGCTGAGGAGCTATGCAATAACTCATTTCAACTAACACATAGTTCTTATTGTATTCAATTAATAACGCGTAGACCATAACTAAAATAGTTCACAATCTTTATATCCGACTGCTGAAGAAATGGTTGATAGAGAGCTCAACAAAATACCTTGATAAAGTAAAGATTCAACAATAATTTAATAGAAAATGTGTGAACAACCACAATCGCATTTCATTCTCAACCATGATTTAAGATAACATAAAAATCCATGGATATTCTCCAAAAAAATCTACGAGAACGAGAGCCACCAGTTCTTCAGTCGATACAACTCCCAAAAAGAGAAGAGGATAGAATAGAAACAAGGTTTCTTATAAACAGTCCTCTAAAATGAGGTTTGTGACTAGGGCAGTGTTATCGGCTACTCTATACATGTGCAAAAGATAGTACAATAGCCTAATTGATGTCAACTACAGATCCAGCTTTTGTGCATTCCAACTCCTTTAATATGTGGTGGTGCCAGTAGGATCGCAAGATATACTACAATGGGAAGGTGTGTCTTGGCTTTACCATATTGAGTGCTTCATACCAAGACCGTTACACGTTAGAATAAGACCCTTGTAGCGATTAAGGTATTCCTGCAATCAAACGTCAGAGCAGTGTTAACAATGAAGACATAGTTAAGTACCTACACTAAACAGGAAGAAAAAATTGGGAGGAAACTTACGACGATATTGTAATCATAGGCTCGTAGCATCCCTTTCTTGTCATATTCTTGTCGTTTCACAGGATCACTCAAAACTGTTTTGACACAATTGGAAAGTTAAACTATTGGGAATGGATTCACACAAAACTGTTGGTGAACATGTCACTATGGTCTGCATTATCACATTGTCCGACAAGGCAGCTTATATACAACTGTTGTCAAGTGTCAAACCACTTGTCCAATGCGTAAAATTTTTGGGTAACTTTATATATGCCATTGGTGTTTCAATCATAAAGCTTGGGTTCCTATTGTCAAACCCCCTACCCTCCAGAAATTTTATTTACCTTGGGATGTCAATGATGTCAAGGAGGATAACTTTCCAAAAGTAAGGAGGACTTTAAGTGACACCTATATAATTCAAATTTAGGTTCCGAATTTAAAGTAAGTATTACTACAACTTTTAAGCTTCTGGATACCGGCATCAAGCTTAAAATTACTCTCTTTCTCCCATTCACCCACATACCATAGTAGATAGTATTACCACCACTGTCACAAGAAAGTTCTGAGGAACTAGTATCCTTGCACACTCCACTTAAGAATACATACTTCACACAGGAATTATTGCATCTGTTCATCTCCTCAAGTTGTGCGTAGACTCTCTCAGATTACGCAACTACAAGCTCTAAAGCATCAGTCTATTTATCTCGTTATATCGCTAACTTCTTACAAGCAGTTAGATCATAAATTGTTTTAAATTGGATTTGTTTCTTTCCCACGTTATGCAAGAAAATAGGCAGCTCAAAAAATAAAGGCACCTCTTACAAACACACCCAAACAGTTTATACCAGTCCTAACTTGGAAAATTGGCTTGCATTAAATATTTCATTGACTATTAACTAGAAAGATCATGACGAGGGTCCTCTTCTGATATATTCTGAGTTTGTCTAACAAACAATAATTGAAGTCTCATTTAGTGAACTTGTAATTCCTAGATCAGTTGGTCAACACAGAAAGCATAGCCAAGTCTAGCCCCAGCTAAAATGAGGAGGTTAAAATACATTGACACCTACCCTAAAAACAGGCAACCCTCGGAATATTGAATGACATAATTCCTAATTCAAATTGAAATGTACAATGATTTGAGTAACAAGATTTTCGTTTTCTTAAAACAGAAAAATGGAATGGATTCACATAATTCATTTAACAAAAATTCTCAAAAACACGGCCAATGAGAAACACAAGTCTTCACAAGCTTGTTATGACATAAATGGATCATTCTTTGCACCAGATTCAAATCTCATTTGCACTCTTCAACAATTCTAGAACCCTCAGAATTACTCTATGAAAATTGCTGAAATTTTCTTTCTCACTATTCTAAACTTTTATGATTAGTTGGCAAATGCAGATTCAAGTGTTTGGAAGACCGAATGTTAGTCACCCTCTACTGGACCATTCTAGAATCCAGGAGTTCAACTTTAGCACACAATTTTGTCTTTCCAGAAAATAATCATTTACCTGGACAAACAAATTCATCTCGGAGACAAAAAAAACTCACCAATTTTTTTTTTAATTCTAAGTTCTTCAACGGAATTGATCTTCTTATATTCTAAGACCTATAATTTGGCTTAAAGAATATGAATGTCTCGATACTGACTGTACAATGGATGGGATAGGAGCGATCTTGCCTGAATCTAGATGGGAAATAAGTGTTTGATTCTCAAGTTACCCAATCAATCACGTTACTTGCAGTAGACATATGTTATTAGACAAACTCACTCCAAGAAAACCCAGATATGAACTAAATATTGACTCATTGCAGGTTGAAAACTCTGTATAAATCAACTTTGCTTTGTAAAAGGCTTAGGAAATAGCCTTAAGAATCAAATAAATGATTACAGCTATGAAAAAGAACCAACCTTGGTATGCCTCGTTTATTTCCTGAAACTTTGAGGTAGCACTATCCTGATCTTTTTGCTTATCCGGATGCCATTTCTGTCCGCAAAACAAAAATTATAAAACAATGCCCGAACTAAGAAAATGAGATATACACACCTCATAGATCAGATACAATGACATGTATAACACTCACAAAGGTGGAAAAATCATAAACCAGGTATAAAGGAATTGGTTTAACATGGATAGAATGAAAACTAACCAACGCAAGACGGATAAAATTGGACCGAATGACCTCCTCCGTGGCATCATAATCCACTTCCAGTATTCTATAGTAATCCTACATTCAAGAAATGCAAAACCGCAAGTCAAGACTGCAACTTTACACAACATTCCAGAAAATAAACCCAAAATTCCCTTCCAGTATCCCAAAATAATCCTACATACACATTTGAGAAACACAAAAACCAAACTTGACACAAATTTCTATAAAAAAACCCAAAACCCACAACAAGAATCCTATAATAATCCTACAAATAACACAAATAGTCAAGAAATGCAAACCTCACCAATCAAAAATCCAAACTTGACAACTAATTTCTAAAATGAAACCAAAACCCACAACCAGAATCCTAAATAGTCAAGAAATGCAAACCCACCAACCAAAAACCCAAACTTGACACAAATTTCTAAAATAAAACCAAAACCCACAACCAGAATCCTATAATCCTCCTAGACATAACACAAAAAGTCAAGAAATACAAACCCAACCAATCAAAAATCCAAACTTGACACAAATTTCTAAAACAAAACCAAAACCCACAACCAGAATCCTTGAATAATCCTACATATAACACAAACAATCAAGAAATGCAAACTCCACCAATCAAAAACCCAAACTTGACAACAAATTTCTAAAACAAAACCAAAATCCACCACCACTATCCTGTAATAATCCTACACATAACACAAACAGTCAAGAAATGCAAACCCCACCAATCAAAATACAAACTTTACACAAATTTCAACAAAGAAAAACCAAAATCCTCAGATAAAGTACCTTGGGTTTAGACAACACTGACAAGAAATCAAATTTAAGATAAGAATCATCTTCTTCTTCTTGCTGCTGCTGTTCTTCCTCGTATTCTTGTCCAAATTCATTGCCCCACTCGTCCCACATCATCTTTTCTTTTCAAAAATAGTTTCAGCACTGGAAAAATAAGAAACCCACAAAGAATTTATCTGGGTCTTTTTACCAGAGCCGACAGAAAAAAAAGATTTCGTTGGAAAAAAACCAAGAAATATGATAAGAATCTATTATTATTTTTAAAGTTTTATCTAGATAAAAATAATAAAATGCAGGTCTAGATACCCGCTAAGATGAGAAAAATTATGAGAGAATTTTATCTAATCCGAAAAGGCAAGAGACAATCCCACAAAAGAGGCAGACCAAAAAAAGAGATTACATTGAAGAAAAATAAGGAAAAATCGATTAATTAGGAATACCTGTTGGTGTTTTTGGTATTTCAATTTTCAAAGTCCTTGTTTTTAATTTTTATTATCTCCTCAGAATAATGAATTTTTTAATTTAATACTATATATTTTTATTTTTGTCGTAATATTTCACAAGTTATATTAGTATCTTTAAATATTAAATTTAATTTTAAGAGTAAAAAGCATATAGAAATTGAATTTAGAACCTGTTTAGATGGACTTATAAATTTATGACTATTAGCCTAAGTCATACGTTGCGGTCTTACGGACCTTAACTATGGATATTTGATACTTAAAAATATTTTTTTATTTTATTCAAATATTATAAAAAATATTTTGATTTAAAAACATCTAAAATAAACTCTAATGGTGTGAGATTGAAATTCAAAATTGTGAAATTATATATTTCAACTATACGACTTTTGAAGTTGAAATCATCAAAGTCAAACTTAAATAAAATGTACTATCACAAAAATATTCGGTTATTCTAATTAATAAACTGACACTTCAAAGCTTTTTATAGAAATATAATGAAATTTGTCAATATTGATTATAAATCAAGTACTTTTTAAAAATACATATAAATTATCTTAAAGAATCATAAATATATAATTTAATTTGATATAATTGACGTTTTGACAATGCAGTATTTATATTATTAGCTATTTTACGAGCTCTAAAAATATTTTTTTTTTTAATTATGAAACCATAGAGTTGACTAACGATGAGTACATGAATTATTCTGTATAATAAAATGTTAGTACTAAACTATTAGTCTACTGGGGAATCCTTCTTATTTTTTTCCTTTTGAGATAGTGAATTACCATGGTTTTCTCTTAAGACATGTATTTAAATTTAAGAAATGGAGTAGGTGACATTCA